AGTAAATCAACACAGAAAGGTCAGAACTAAATTGTACCCTACAGCAAATGGCCCTAACAGACATCTACAAATGTTCAACAACTGCTGAAAATACTTTTCTCACTAGCACTTCGCATTCTCAAGGAAAAGATCATATGCCATAAAATAAAATGTCTCAAAAATAAAAACACAAAAGAAAACAAAAACGAAATCATAGATTTCATTGCTGAATCATGAACTATCTTTTCTGACCATAAAGCAATAAAATTAAAAATCAATTAACAAATACTTTGGAAATTATACAAGCACGTGGATATTAAGTTACTTTGAACAACTAATGGAGATCAAGAAAGAAACTAAGAATTTTTTTGAAACAAATCAAAATGGAGACACAATATGCTGAAAGCTATAGAATACATCAAAAAAACAGTGCTAAGTGGTAAGTTTATATAATCACTACTTATTTCCATAAACACAAAGATCTCAAGTAAACAACCTATCATGATGCATCAAGGAAATAGAAAAATGAAAAACAATCAAACCCCAAATTAGTAGAAAGAAAAAAGGTCAGAATATAAATGAAATGGATGTTAAAATATGCAAAAGACAAAGAAAGAATTGGTGCTTTGAAAATAAAAACAGGATAAACCTTAAGCTAGACTAAGAAGTCTGTGATAAAAGCAAAGATTAAAAAAAAGAAATATCATAGAAATAAAAAGATTATTACAAATTATAAACAATTCTATGCCAACAAATTTTATAAGCAAGACAAAATATACAAATTCATAGACATATATACTCTATTAAGAATGAATCTTCAAGAAATAGAAAAACCTGAACATACCAATAATAAATAATGAGAAGATGAACTTCAGTAATAAACTTCTACCATCAATGAAAAGCCCAGGTCTAGATGGCTTCACTGCTGAATTGTACCAAACATTTAAAGAAGAACTAGGATGAATTCTTTGTAAGTTATTCAAAAAAATAGAAGACACAGGGTACTTCTAAATTTATTCTACCATGCCAGGATTCTCTGGATGGCAAAACGAGATGAGGAGACAAAATTACACACACACATTGCAGGACAACATCCTTGATGAATACAGCCACAAAGATCACCCCAAAATATTAGCAAACCAGAACGTTTGGAAAATTATTCTCAATGATGGAGAGAATTCATCCCAGGGATACAAAAATAGGTCAGTGTACACAAATCAATAAATGTAGCACAACACATCAAGAGCATGAGGGACAAAAACCATGTGGTCATCTCAACAGATGCAGGGAAAGCATCTGATAAAATCCAACCTCTCTGTATGTATGATAAATATAATGAATAAAGTAGGTATAGGAGAAATATAACTGAACACAGGGAAAAATAATAATTTATAATAAGTTCATAGGTAATATTATATTGGATGGGGAAATAGGAAATGTCACAAGACATGGATGCCTACCTTCACCACTTTTATCCAACGTAGTGCTAGAAGTCCTAGCCAGACGAGTTAGGAAAAAGAAAGATATAAAGGCATCCAAATTGGAACAGAAAAAGTTGAATTGTCATTGTTTGCAGATGACATGATTTTATATGCCACCAAAAATCTATTAGAACTAATAAAGAAATTCAACAAAGTTGCAGAATATAAAACAAACGTGAAAATCAGTAGCACTTCCATATACCAATAGTGAATTATCTGAAGTAGAAATCAAGAAGGTAAGTCCAGATATAATAGTTATAAAAACATGTGGGAATATATTTAACTAACTTGAATGACCTGTATAATGAAAATTATAAATATTAGTGAAAGAAACTGAAGAGTACACAAGAAAGTGGGAAGGTATGCTGTGTTCATAGATTGGACAAATAATATTGTTAAAATTCCTGTATACCCAAAGCAATGCACAGATTCAATGCAATGCCCATCAAAATACCAATGATATTCTGTGACAGAATGAGATAAAACAGTGCTGGATAAAAATTATATGGAACCACAGAATCCCCAAATAGCCAAAAATATTTGGCCCAAAAATAACAAAGCAGGAGGTATTATACTACTTGACTTCAAAACATAATGCAAAACTGTAGTAATTAAGAAAGCATGGTGGAAGCATAAAAAAAGACATGTGGACCAATAGAACAGCAGAGAGACCCTAGAAGTGAACCCTTGTATTCATAGCCCATGATTTTTGACAAAGGTGCTGAAAACATGCATTGGAGAAAGGATGATCTTTTCAGTAAATGGTGCTGGAAAATTGAATACCCACATGCAGAAACAACAACTCAAAATGGTTTACACAAACTACAAATGACAATTCAAAATGGATTAAAGTCTTAAATGTAGGACTGAATCTGTAAAAGTACTTGAAGAAAATGTAGGGAAAATGCTTCAGGACTTTGGAATGGGCAAGGAGCTTTTGGACAATAGCTTCCCAAACACAGGAAACAAAAGTTACAATAGACAAACAGGATGAAATTTAACTAAAATTCTTCTGCAAAACAAAGGAAACTATCAATGGAATGTAGAGACTGGAATTGGAGATGTTTGCAAACTACATATCTCACAAAGGGTGATATCCAGGCTATACAAGGATCTCAAAAACTCAAGAGCAAGAAACCAAACCAAAACAAAATAAAAAGCAAAAATATAAAAAACTGAGTAATAACTCAAAATAGACATTTTCCCAAAGAAGATATACTTGTATAAATGGTCAACATGTACATGTATGAAAAAGTGAACATCACTAATCCTCAGTAAAATGCAAATCAAACTGCCAGGAGCTAGCACTTCACCCTAACAAGAATAGCTGTTAGCAAAAGGACTAAAAATTACAGGTACTGGTAAGGGGGCAAAGTAAAATGAACTCTCATTCACTACTGGTGGAACTACAAATTAGTATGGCTATAATGAAAAAAAAGTAGGGGATTCCTCAAAATATTAAAAGCAGAACTACCATATCATTCAGCAATCCCACTCCTGAGCTTATAGCCAAAGGAAATGAAAACAGTATGTCAGACGCATTTGCAATCCAGGGTTCAGTGTAATGCTATTCACAACATTCAAGAAATAGAAAAACCCTGTCTGTCAACTAATGAATGGATAGAGAAATCATGGTACATAAATATAATGGAATGCAATTCACTTACAAAAAGGATGAAATCACATCATTTGTAACAACTTGGTTGGAAATAAAGATCATTATGTTAACTGGACAAAGCCAGACACAGAAAGACAAGTATGGAATCATATACAGAATCTTACATATGGCCTCCTACGTGGAATCTAAAAATGCAGACATCATAGAAGTTGGTGATTACAGAGGACATGGAGATGCAGGGGGAAGGCCAGAGAGCAGCTGATAAATGGGTGCTGAATTAGAGTTAGATGGGACAGTAGGGTGACCATAAACAACAGTGATGTATATTTTGAGGAACTAAAAGAATTTTGAAAATTTAACCATAAAGAAATGATTAATATTTGAGAGGATAAGTTTAACTTGACTGAAATACTGTGCACTGTGTATATGTATGGAAACATTACATGACACCTTGTTAATATGTATAATTTTATGTTTCAGGGTTTTTTTTTTAAAAGAACCTCAGGATCCCAGAAACACAGTTTAAAGACACAATACTTGATCATTAGAAAAATTTGTTGGATGCATAGCAACAAGAAATAGTTCAAACATGCTTAGTGTAATTATACCCACTTCTGGTCTGCTGGCCTCAATTAGTAGACAGAAGAATAAAATAAAACAGACAAAAGAAACGTGGCAGGGGAGTGTCAGAGGGCTTACGAAAGAATGGAAAGATGAAGGAAGAAATGGAGAAAGAAAACTGAAAGAAAGAAGAAAGGGGAAAACCCAACAACCAGTAGTAAATTTATCAAATTATTTAAATAATGGAAAAATCTTCACATAAAAAAAGAGACAGTGGAAGGAGGAGGAGGAAAAGGAAAGAAAATTTTTAAAAAGATGTACTTTGCATTCCAATGTTTAGAAAGAACTTAAACATTATGTACCATAAACATGTACTAATAAAAAAAATAACAGGATGCTTTTTCTCTTCCCTTCTTACCCTCTGCACTATATTTCTCCCCAACTTAGCAATTTGCAGGGAAATGACAGTTAAATCTAATTATAAAGGGAGATATTTAAAAAATTATAACAATTTATTTTAAATCTAAAGTTATTCTTGAAAGGATTCTTTAAAAGATAGTTGCTTTTATCTCAACTTTTGAGTTAAGACATTAATTTTTACATACACTAAAAAGAAATAACAGTTTAAAAACAAAAATAATCCTTCTAGAAGCATTAGATTATAATTAGGTATTGTTTCAATTACCCCCTCAAAATTTGTGTGTTATCTCGGGTTGGGTTTCTAAAAAGAGATATGGAATATGGCAAAAAAATCAACAAATTAGGGTGCCAAATGACAATTAGGAGGAATAGGTTCTGGTTCTAGTGCACAGTAGGGTGACGCTCATTAAAAATAATGCATGGGATATTTCACAGCAGCTAAAAAAGACTGTACATGTTCTCATCACAAAGAAATGATAAATGTTTCAAGTAAAGGATAAGCTAATTACCATGATTTGATCATTATACAATGTATACATGTAACAAAATATCACACTGTATCCCATAAATCTTGTGTCCACTCAAAAAGTTAACAACAAAAAAGAAAATCAATGAAGTAAAACTTTCCTTAAATTATTTTCTTTTATATATAATTTCTAGGGAAACAATAAAACTCAAAAAAGACAGAAAAGGGAACATATCTTGTTTTTTCTAATGGAAATATGAAAAAAGAAAATATGCTGAGTTATACTGCTTTAGCTTTTAGTAAAAATCTAATGCATTTGTCAGATTTATAGCATTTTTGAAATACACTTATAATCTATTTACAAATTTTTATTCATGTTTACTAGTTTTAACTAAATTTAAATTATGAAAAGGAATTTGAATATATTGAGAGGACAAGAAAATAACATGTGAAAACCACTTAAATGAAAACTTACCAGCTGTTTCATGACCAGTGTGGTGGCTTAGATATTTTTTACATACGTAAGGAAATGTGGACTCACAATCCCTACTCCTCCAGGCAGTTGGCATAAATGAATGAAATGTTCCACAGTGATATTCAACAAATGGCTCAAAATGGATCTCTGAAAATACAATGTGTGTCTAATGTGAATTTAACGGATACTGAAATTCAGTTTTAGCATCAGAGGACACTTCCCTTTGGTACAGATAGTGAATCCAATGAGACATGATGGTACACATACAATTTTTCAGTTAAAATCAAGGCATGAGCTATGATTTGCCAAAGTTTGCAAAAACACTAATTTCATTGTTTTAAAGATGAAGATTATTTACCAAGCATTATTTTTAAATCAGCAGACCAAAGTTTGGGTCTGACTCAAATTTTGCAACTAACGGTTAAGTAGTTTACCTTCTTGGCCTGTCCCATCTTGTCAGAAAGATCTTGTGTTAAAGTAATTCAGAACAACATGCATGATATCTACATGAGAAATGTTACTGTTTAAGGTTGCAAGATGATGTCACCTGCAAAGGGTGAATAAAGCGGGGCTGGTGGGTACCTGGATATAAGTTCAGATAACTCAGCGGCAATCCGTCAGACCACTGCCAGCCTGCGTTTTGATCTAGCTGATTCAAACCTATCCACACTTCCACTGTTTCATTGCTCATGTGCTCTGCAAAGAGAATTATGGAGCTTCAAAAATAATTCAACATTTTTCATTTTATCCTATTACTGGATCATAGAATCATCAGTTAATTCCAGACAATGAAAGAAAGGGTTTTAGGTTCTACAGAGTGACAAAACAAACATGGATCTTCTTTGGATTCCAACAGTTTCCCAAAGCTTCACTGACAGTGTTTCCTAGCTTAAAGCGCTTCATGAAAGTGCCCAGGAATATTCCTTTTCAATAGTCCTCAGTCTAGTCCAAAACATGTGGTTAAAAATTTGAGTCCATTTTATTTTCATGAACTCATGAATTTAAGGAATTTTAGAGGGAGGAGGAAGTGTCCATGGAAACTTCCAGAAACTGAGCAGAGACATGTCTTCAAGTTTAAGAAGCGGGCGGGGCACGGAGAGCCACTGGGAACTGCCTGACCAAGCAAAGCATCATTCAGTATCAAGAGGAATCTCTAGCAAGTAAGATCTCTAGCCAAGTACACAGCAAACTTGAGGCTTCTTCTACTGTAGTACTTGTGGTGGGAGGTTTTGTGGCAGGCTAACCACTGCACCACAAGTTACCAGCTTGACAAAGTACCAGTGTTGTCATGAACACCACGAATAGACATGCAGTGATACATTTATGCAGGGAAAATGTGGTCATCAAAATTGTAGAATTATGGAAAGGTTTTCTTTTTGTGTCCTGAATTTTAATTTTTTTCTAAGCATGTATTACTAGTATAATAAAATTTGGGGAAAAGCCAGTGAATTGGGGAAATTTTAGTGAGAATGGCCAATTTCATAACACTTTCAAAGGTGTGTCATTTTATCATTCCACAGAGAATAGCAATGTTTTCTTTTTTTTTTTTTTTTATCAGTACCAGGGATCGAACTCACGACTGTGTGCTTGCAAGGCTTATGCCACTGAGCTAAATCCCCAGCCCCTGCACCGTTTTCTTATAGTCATCTGTTTCAGAACTCACTTGATTTTGAGTCAGTTGCAAAACCCATCCTGAGCTTGAGATTCTTATAGGGGTTATAAGTAGACTGTCTCTGTGTCCCAGCATGGTTTATTCTGACCACCCAAGAATAATAATTAATCATAGCCCCTTTTACTCTTGAGTGTAAAAGGTTGGATTTGGTTGGATGGAAGACTGTACAAATACCAGGTGTGATGTCTGTATATTCACATAACAAGACTGCAGCATCCTCAGCAATCAGACAGTTCAGTACAATAGTGGAAAACTAGAGGAATCTCAGGCTCTTAGCAAAAGAGATCCCAGAAATCATTAAGAAGAAACAACACACATAGGCCATGTTTCCAAGTTTCTGTAGCCTTAACATGAAATCTTTTCCTAATATATATTCAATTACTGTTTTCAATTACAAGTGCTTGATTAAAATACTTAATAGGTCTTGTAATGACAGAAATGGATTGGAAGGTACAGTAACAAAATTTCCAGGGCAAGTTTTGTACATTTCATATCCAGGTTAGTGTCAGATGATATTTTAGAATAGTCTAATCAAAATATTTATTTATTTATTTATTTAAGATACTGGGAACTGAATCAGGACAGGTAGGCACAGTGCCAATGAGCTATATCCCTGGCCCTAATCAAAATATTTAAATACTCATTACTTTTAGAATTATTTTGAGCACTGGTTATATAATTGTTTTATTAATTCACATATAACCATTCTGTAATTTATAGTCTGTATTTAAAGGTATAGAAATAGTTCACTTAACCTTTATATCTAAATTGGCATGCAATACTCAAATAACAAATTCAAACACAAATGCCTACAAATGGTTCTTGGCATTCATGACAGTTTATGTAATTCCTTATATCATAGTTAATGTCCACCAGTGATTGGCAAGAAACATTATAGTACTATTCTCATTCTTAAAAATACTTTGGTGGCCAGGCATAGTGGCACATGCTGGAACCCCACACTCTGAATGGTTAAGGGATGAGGAGTGCAAATTTAAACACAGCCTGGGCAACCCAGTTACTTAGCAAGAGCCTTCTTCAAAATATAAAATTAAAATAAAAGGCCTAGGGATGTAGTTCCATACGAAGGCTCTGCATTCAGTCCTCCACACTGCAAAAAAGCAAACAATTTTAAAACTGGTCAGACTTCTATTTTCTTAACTCTCTAATGATAGAATTGAAGTATTTAAATCAAAGTCTCTGACACAATGTATGTTTAAAAATTGTTACTCAACTTTGATGAATAAGTCCAAATCTCCTTATAAGAGATCCTGGCAGTTAAGATAGATAGCAATTGAAATTTATAAATTGTGTCCAAACTTTTACATAAAAACTATTCCAGGTTAATAATGATTTTGAAAATTTGTGTGTTTCTCCAATAGTACTCACACAAATCAGTTTCAATGATAATTTTCTACTTTTGCACAGATCGGAGGGAAGAGCAAGTATGCTCTCTGTTCATCCATTTCTTACAAACTTTCCAGAAGGTGTTTCTGACTTTCAAAAGCTTTAAAATAAGTCTCCTCTTCCATCCTGTGAATCCATTTCTATAAGCTTACAGAGAAGTAACTTGGGAACAATGTATAAATGTATGTAGAAGGATGGTTTGTAATAACAATAAATATATAAATAAAAACCAAAATTATATAAAACTATTTATTTATTTATGGACAGAGTTTCACTACATGCAGGTAAATTAAATAAGCAGCTTATCAGACAGGGTGGTCATCAAATGGTTTCCACACACTGAGTATTTTATTATGTGTGCCAACTACTTTTCTAGCATTTCATTTGTATTATAAGATGCAACACACCTGAAGAAGTATATACTATTCGTATTTCCACTTGATAGAGTGGAGAAATTCAGGCACAGAGAGTGGTTAAGGAGTTTGAGGAGCCACTAATCAGTGATAGAGACAAGATTCAAATGCAGGCAGGTAACTAAACACGTAAACACTGCAATAACCACCTCATGTTTTGCAGATTGTAGAACTGTGGGAGATTTTTTAACTTGCTTCTCTTCCTGTATAGCTAAATTAAAAGTTATTCAAAATAAACATGTACCACATGTTCAATAAACTTTGAGAAAAAAAGTAGAGTCAGACACATTTAATGAAAGTGAGTAAATTTTTGAACAGTTTTTAATGTTTCAAAAATTTAAAGAGAGGCACAAATACATTTAATCTGCAAAGGAGAAGTAAGGGGAGGGTTTTGGTGATAAGTGAAACAGACCTCAGCTCATTAGTGCAATTCTTTTGACATTTTATGTTATTGACTTACACTGTTAGTTACCATGCCCATATTTTTGCTTTTTCTGCTAAATTTTAGGTGTTTTGGCAGCCACTAAAAGGCTAAGACACATTTGCACATAATGGGTGATAGATATGCTGTTAAATAATAGATTATTTAATTATTTATAAATAGGAATTGAACAGCTAAGGTCTCCAGAAAAACAAGCATTGGTGCTTAAGTTTAGACGTCTCCGATCCACTTGCTGGACCTGCAGGTCCCCTAGGTCTCTTGCTGTGGTCTTGAGCTCTCTTTTTAAAGTGGGAAACTTTAAATGGAAAGACATGACTGGTTGTTAGAAGGAAAGGTCCAGAACTCATGTAGAAATTCTGAGTAAGTGCTTGGGCCATAAGAAGGAAACAGAAATATTTTTAGGGGAAAATTTCAGGATATAGCTTTGAATACATGATGAACGTAACTGTTAGCAGTCATTTTGTTGTGTAAATATCAGTGTGTATCATCCATCTACTTACTCTTTATGAAATTTTCTTCATTTTCATCCTCAATACTTAATAAATCACCTCCTTGCAACTGGCATGAAGAATGTGCCTCATTCCAAGACAGAAATGAATGCAAGTTGAATTGGTAGCAAATGTGTGTATTGGGGTCCTTCTCCCACACAGTGTCACAAGCTACCTTTGTAGACGCTGGGAAGAAAGTCCATTGAAAATTCATTAGTCTTATTTTATTTATACAGCAATATATTTCTAAGATGTATTGGAACGGAATAATTCTAATCTGCTTCTGTCAAAACTTCACTACATTAAATCTTCTTGATTAGGTCTTTCTAAAGGAATCTGCATTGCTATTTCACTGTTTTACAGATAAACTCTTTCAAGACTTATGGAAAATCAAGCAATTATCACTTAAGAAGCCCTGATACATGGAGGACAAGTAATAGACACTAGTTGTAAGAGAAGGAAGTAGAAATGAAATATTTGTGAATATAACATTTTAGTTTTATAATAAACATTCATTTAGAACCTTACATTGAACACTGTGAATTTAAATATTTAAGATAGACAAAAGACTTTTCTTTCTAAACACCAAAATGCCAAATGCAATAGAGTGCTAACTGCAATAAAAGGATACAGTAAATATATGAGATGTGATTATAATATATAGCAAATGTTTAAACTTAGATTATTATTACAGTAAAATACACATTGCCATCAATCACCTTCAAAATACTTCCAACACACTTATCCCCTCAGTCTTTCTTCTTCTTCTTCATCTTCCCCCTCCCCTTCCCCTTCCCCCTCTTCCTCCTCCTCCTCCTCCTCCTCCTCCTCCTCCTCGTTCTTCTTTTTCTTCTTTTTTCCTTTGAGACAGGGTCTCACTTCATAGGGCAGGCTGTCCTGTAACTCACAGCTTTTTGTCTCAGTCTCCCGAGTGTGGCATAAAAAGTATATTCCACCATGCCTGGCTCCTGCCACTTTCTAAAGCACTTCTAGAAGTCCTCTTTTGTGAATGTGTTTACAAGATATGGTTTGAAATGGGGTAAATTCTGCTGCCAAGTGCCATCAGGCGGAAAGACAGGGTTGAAAAAACCTTAGTGTCTTCACAATCACTTTATTTACTAGACATAGTAATGTGACTTTTGATTCCTCCCCAAAGCCAAAATGATCACGAAAGGTAAATGTTTGAATTGATTAAGGACATCACAGCATCCATGGCAGTGCAACTAAAGACACTCATGAAACAGGGATTTTCAAAATTGCTTCCGAAAGTGGCAAGACAGATGGGACAAGTATGTTTGAAACGACAGAGAGTATTTTTGAGAGGCATTCACGGCAATAGATTTAAACATTTACTATATTTTTCAATCACATCTAATCTGAGACCATGTTCCACTGAACAGAGGAATAATTAGTTTTAAACAGGTCTTTTAGCCAACTTGAATAGAAGCAAAACCCACTTGCAAGACATGGGACAAAGACAGTAAGTTTAAAAGTAAACTTATAAAAGTAGGTAAATGGGTATTTGAAATATGAAGTTTACCAAAATGACAGACAATGAAGACCTAGTTTGAGTGTGTTGTTCAAATTTTAAATTGAACTTCAACAATTTCTAGAAGTCATACTCAGCCAAAGAATTTCAAAATGCAGAAAATACTTCAGCATAAGTGTAACTGATGGGCAGACAATCTGCAGCACTCTAGAACAGTCATTCCCAAAAATGACTTTAAGAACCTGTCCAATGGAAAAAAGAATAGGAAACCGGGTCAGGGATCTAAGTCAGCAGCAGGAGCGCCTGCCTGGCAAGTGCAAGGTTGTGTTTAATTTCCAGTAAAAGAAAAGAAAAGAAAAAAAAGAGAACCTGTCCAAGAAAAACTGAAACATAAAGTAATAAAGTATATAACGTATTTTCTGGGAATTACATTAATGTATTAAATACTCTGAGAATTTCTCCAGTTAAGAAAAGTGTTTAATTCTAATGCATTATACTTCAAAATAATTTAACAATGAAGTCCTTTTCATTTGTTTCCTTTCCCCCACAATACTTTGGTTCCCCAAGGAAGTATAGAAAGTTTGTTTTCATGTCTAATTACAATACTTATTGCCAAGAATTTAGTTATTAGATCAGCAGTTACTAAATCACATAAATCTAGGGTTGCTTATACTCTAGTATTTTCCTACCTGATACATATATTTAATGGAAGAATACAGGATTGAAGAGGCCAAAAGACAAGGTTATCATCAAACAACAATGAAGGAAAAGACAAAAAAATGGAGCAGAAAGAGGGAAATTTTCAGTAGCCATTTGTCCTACTGGCTACAATTTCCCCACTGAGATGAAATCCTTAGAAACTCACTTCATTCAAAGCGCTCAGTCTTCCCTAAAAGGAACCCACAGTTCAGTGAGACTCACACAGTGTAACAGGTGAGACCACTGAGGGGAGCAGGGATGTGGTTACAATTCCAGTGTGCAGAGTGATGTAGCCAGACTCTTAAAAGGGGGAGGGAAGGAGGGAGGGAGGGAGGGGAGAACATAGAGAGAGAGACAGAGACAGAGGGGGGAGAGAGAGGAGGAATGGAGGGGGAGGAAGAAAGAGAGAGATTCAGAGAGAGAGAGAGAGAGAGAGAGAGAGAGAGAGAGAGATTGAGAGAATGCAACTTCCTTGTGCTCAATCTCAAGGGGTTCTGAGTCCATTGGTCTGGGGTGGGATTCAGGAACAAGCAGTTAGAACATATTTCCAGTTCCCATTGCAGATGTTTTATGAAGCAAACACTAGAAAACACTATCTTAAAGCAAAACCTTTGAAGCCTTTCTCTCAGCAGGCTTTAGATACTGGAAGACAGTAGCATGGTCAAGGTGAGATATGAGGAGTGGCATCATCCTAAGAGTGGAGTATACAGGCTTGCCTCTGACAAGGGCAAAACCTCATTACAAGTTTCTAGGCCACAGTCATGTATACAACAACAAAAGTTATGCAGGATACTTCTACTGATCTCATCCCCATTTTGTCAAGCATTGGTCTTGCTTTTTCAATGCAGCCTTTCGTAGTTACCTGCCTGAGCTCTGTAGTAAGCAGTCATGGGGAGAGGCTTGAAGGCCACTGTGTCTGTGCTGCGCATTACAGAGCCCCTTTATGTAAAACTTTGCTTTGGTTTTGGAAGATCTCTGGCAGTTTAAGGTTAGTTGATAGAGAAACTTTAGTCAAATCTTTGTAACAGACATATTCTCCAAGAAAGTCAGTTCATTTGTCATTAAATTTGGTTTAAATAAAACAAGAATTTGTACTTCAGTGCAGGCAGACACAGCTGTTCTCTCTGCTTCTTCAGGAGGGCTGTGTCTCACTTCCTAAGTCTCATTTGAATGTTTCTGAGTACCAAGTGTGATGAAAATGTCACTGTGGACCAGGCACAGTAATAAGCACCAGGATGCACTGCCTTGATCCTCATGTAGGATTGAAGGAACTTACTTCTCTAATTGCCACACACATCCTTCACTTTAAACCTCCTTTAAGGATTACCTTGGCTGAAGAGTCTCTCTGTTCAAGGCTATTCTCCCTTGCTAAGGGCACATGGTACACTGTGACTGATTAATGTAGGGGTAAGCGATTCTCACCCCAGTCAGGGGAAAATTGCAAGAGCCACCCTAATTTGAGAGTACCTTATATGGGGAACCTAGGGATGACTGTGTGTGCATCACACACACTGCTGTGCAATCCTGCTCTCTTCCCTTCCTTTGCACACGAACACCTTGAGAGGACACTCAGGAAGCTTCCACGTGTGAATCTCTGCTGTAGGGACATCGTTCTAAGACCCTACTTGCTTGGGGGGGGCCTATCTTGACCTGAGACATTTGCACTTATATATAATATCTTCCCAAAGCACTGAAAATGAAAGACTGAAAATTTGTGTTTCAAGTATAATTATTCTGGAAAAATTTTAATTTAAAGGCTAGAAGCATCTAATCATATTTCTTTGTATATGATGGTTGTAATATTATTTTTTCTATCTCTAAATTTTGAGCTCCTTAAGGGATATTATTCAATCAAAGATTACTAAAATATTTTGCATTATTATTAGTAGGAGATCTTTCTATTTCCAAATTCCACTCCTTTTGTACTGAACTAAAGTGTACATCAGACCTGATTTCACTATGAATTATGACTGAGATTCAGCCTTTTTTATTTTTGTGTAAATGGGGTTTGTTTTTCTTTCCTAAGGACTTGGCTTTGCTGTATTGTTTCTTATCATTTAAAAAAATTTTTTTTGACTTTTTTTTTTTTAAATGAAGACTTGAGCCAGGGATATAAGTTAGTGGCATAGTGCCTGCCTGACAAACACAAGGTTGTGAATTCCATTCCTTGTATATGAGAGAGAGAGAGAGAGAGAGAGAGAGAGAGAGAGAGAGAGAGAGAGAGAAACGAGAGACAGAGACAGAGAAACAGAGAGACAGAGACAGAGAGACAGAGACAGAGACAGAAACAGGTTTATCTTTCAGAGAAGCATCCAAAGTTACTTTTTTTTTTCTTTCTCTTTGGTCTTTCATAGACTCAGCAAATAGTTGTTCTATGTCTGATCTCTGAAAAATGCTATGTTGGTAAACCTGCTCTAAGTGGGATCCAAGGCAGAGTCATGGCTTCTTGCAGTTTACTATTCCAATGCTTTACAAGCTCCTTGGTAGGTATCCTTGGTCACAACTAAAAGTAAATGCTGCATTATGTGATTGCTCACTTATTATTTGTTTCTCCTGATAAAATGCAGGTACAGGGAAAGCAGGACATGTGCATCATCTTGTTCATGCTATCTTCTAAACTCTCCCATCAGCATTTAAGGGTTGCTGGGGTGAAGAGGGAAAGTTATCAAAGAAAGCTGGGAAGTGGTCACAAAGAAAGGGGAAAGCTAGTAAGGGCGGGTTATAGAAACCCCAGGAGAGAGAAAGTATCTGTTTTGTTATGTATTGCTCAGTCTTTGAATACAGTGAAGACTGAATCCATTAATGACTTTATGGAGTCAGTTTCAGAGAAAGACTACTTTTATCTACATTTCTCTGCCTTCATCAAACAGATGAGCATTTCTAAGAAAAGTCATATCAGCCATATCATTACCCAACTCCCTCTACTTCCTGGAAATATTAGCAGTTTTCTGCAGTAAGCTTACTCTCCCACCAGCCACAATACCATGTCATGCCTTCC